CTAACAGGTGGTCTATTTTATTATTTCAAAAACATGGATCGGCCGAGAATTTTGTATCTTTTCATAATTTGATTGGAATAGATACCGAGCCACTCGAGCCGTATTTTGCGGCTCCCGGTCCAGCGAGGCCATGTCCGCGAGCCACCGCAAAATGTGGCTCACGGTAAAAAAAAAAGTGTTACGTGGGCTCCGGTCTACTATGTGAACTGTATGTTGTGTTGATGAAAGCAATTGCTTTTGACTCGGATATTCGTCAATCAGATGGTTAATATTCTTGTCCTAAACACGCTTTTCTTCAGGACTCTGCTCGCCATGATTAATGTTACTGAATATGTTTACTGTTTTCCCACTCCCACTTTTTTTACAGAGCCAGATTTTCCACATTTGGACGCCCTGGCACCATTTTTGCCCTTGGCTATGAGGGTAAGACTCATATGTACAGACTTCTGAGTGTGGGTGGTTGGCGGGTGCTCTGGTGGGGTTTGCTTCTTCTTTCCTATCAAACTTCTATTGCCCTTATCTCTTCGCCTTGTTTTTTGTGTTTGTTACTCTCTTGTAACACTTTTAATCTTCAGCACTTAAATGACCTTATTGTGTTGCAAGTGCCGTAAAACACTTACTAAACAAGACCTCTGACTGCACATTGTAGCTAATAATAGATCATTGCATTTATGTAGCACTCTATCCCATACTAATATAAGCTCTGAGCGCTCTACATAAATCACATGATCACTGAGCGGTTCACGCAAGATAAAATATTTCATTGTAACAAGATAAACCGGTTCAGTCACATAAAGAAGAACTTTCACAACCGCACATCTAGATCTATATATAATATTGTATTTGTGAAAGATCGTCACTTTTTTCACCTAAAATTTCCAAACAACTTAATTTTCAAATTTGAAAAAATTAACGGTGGTTCAGAATCATTTAAAGGTGCACAGTTATATTAAGGAGTCTGAAGTCACTGTAGTTTAATTTTCAGTTTTTCATTAGTTTCATCTAGATCTAATCTTGGGAAAGTCTGTTTTCTTAGATGCCATTGTAAACAAGTGAGGCTTCCATTTACATGCAGTACGCTCTGAACCCACATTGACTTGACGATCGATTCTTTTGAGACTGTTCCTTGAACGGGGTACCCAGTTAGTATATTATATTTGTGAAAGTTCGTCACTTTGGCCGCCTAAAACTTCCGATCCACTTAACTATGGTGTTCGCCTCTCATTCAATAGGTCACAGGTTCGAATCCGGATAGCGACGGGAAATTTTCTTCAGTCTTCTCTAAAATAAATTTTCTCCTTTCAATCCCTTTCCTGCTCTCTAGCAAGGTTCTGTTGTCTGCCACGAGAGCCCCCTAATCTACATGGAATGGCCCAATACCTTTGTGGTGCATGGCCTGGATGTAGGGTATAATTAGCCATAGAGTACATTGTAAAGCTTTGGGTTTTTTTAGCATCACAATGGGATCTTCAAGTTCCCCACAGTTGCAAACAGTGTGAATGTTTTCTGCTTTGGAGATAGTTAACTGTTCTCAGGTTTTTTAACAGAGTTATGCTGGTCGTCATAATAGGCGTCACTGTCTGTCTCATTTTGTTCAACATCACAGATCACAGATTTTTTATTGTCCAATTTATTTTGTTCTAAACATAATGACTTTTATTGTCCTAATTTTTAAGCTCAGTATTTTTCACTACCTTATTTTTTTGCAGCTCAGTACTGTATGAACAGGAAAACGATCTAGCTCTCCTTATTTAGTTCCTATTTTAGATTTTTTTAAATTCATGACACCAAACCATTTTGAAAGAGGTGCTTAACCCTATCCGTGCGCCCTGGATTCATTTTGTACCCCCGGGGTTGTATTCTTCACGTTTTTGAATACTTCTAATACGAAGATCCCTTTGATACTTTCAGTATTTCTCTAAAAATCATTTTGACAGACTGCTATGCAAAGCATACCTATCGGATTAACTAGTAAATTTCCTCTTTGAAAGTGGTGGCACAGAGTTCCCTGCGTCGTATGGATACAATAGTAAAACACGACGTACGGATAGGGTTAAAGGAATGATGTGGGGCAGGAGAGCCAGGGGTAGACATAGATTAACATGGATGGACAACATTAAGTCATTAAGACATGAACTGGCCTGGGTATAGTAGAATGTGCAGCGGAA